TGGAACAGGGGTCACTGGGGTGTGTGTGGGGTATTGGTGAATTTCCTGCATTGTGCAGGGGGTTGGACTAGATGACCCTGGAGGTCCCTTCCCACTCTATGAGTCTATGATTCTATAATTCACCCAGGCTGGCTGTGGGCATGCCAGCACCTCTGTCAGGCAGAAGCGCCTGAGATCCTCCCCTTTTCCTTCGCCCGACTTGGAGGCGAAGGGAAGGGAGAGGGGGGAAAGAATGGATCCCAGGTGCTTCTGCCTGTCAGAGGGGCTGGTGCACACTTCCGGTGATGTCAGGGGGTGTGGCATATGCTAATAAGTTATGCTAATGAGCTCCTGCAGCTCTTTTTCTACGAAATGACCCCTGGTTAGTCTTAAAGGTGCCGCTGGACTCAAACTTTGTTCTGCTGCTTCAAACCAACACCGCTACCCACCTGAATTTGTGTGTCTGGGATCATGGTTCACTCGTGTAATTGAGGCTCGTTCACACGTGCAAGAGAGTAAAGGGGGAGAGCCTTGAGGCGGTTACGTGAATTCACATGCTGGGTGGTGGATTCTGGTTTAGAATGAGTGCAAACGGAGTAATTAAGGATACATCTGCCCATCAGTCACCAATTTTGACACATTTATTTCATTCATTATATCCGCCCACCTCCCGCCCCCGAATTAAACAAATGGTAACCAAATAAACTAAGCTTGTTATTCCTCTTTGGTCCTTGCATCTGTTAAACATCTTTATTATGCTGTATGCTAACTTACTGCTCCCCCTCTACCTATTGCATGCTAACTTACTGCTCACCCTCTACCTATTGGTGTGGAGTGGTAATTTCCATTTCATTGTATCTGAAGAAGTGTGTTTGCACATGAAAGCTTATACCTTGAATAAAACTGTTGGTCTTAAAGGTGCCATTGGACTCAAACTTGGTTCTGCTGCTTCAGATCAACATGGCTACCCACCTGAATCTGCAAATGGAACGTTCGTGCAGCAAGGGTAAAGGTTTTACCTTTTTCTGTAAAAAGTACTGGGTTCGATACATCAGGACGTGGACCACGACATCCAAGAAGATGCATTTATTGGTACTTAACACATGGAACAGTAGCTAACGGCCAGATGGTCAACTTTATACAATTGTGGAGGGAGACCCCTAGGTCCTATTGGCAGTTCAGGAGCCTAGTCCCTATTGTCATCTGGATTGAAGCTCTAGCTGCCTCTGGCTGGCATCAGGCAGTATCAGAAGACATAACATTCTGCCTGCCTGTTTCAGTTTTCTGTTTGCAGGGAATCTTTAACATAGGGAAACATCCTTAAATATGTTGTGCCAGCTGCCGGATGAAGTGATGGCAGGAGATGTCTGCACCTCTGGTCTCTGTTACCGCAGTTCTTTTTGCATGTGGGAACCCAGAATTAGCATGCATAGGCTTGTAGTTAGAGCCTATTGTGCATTTCTATTTTGAATTTAAAAAGTAAAGGTAAAGGTTTCCCTTGCTCGAAAGCCAGTCGAGTCCGACTCTAGGGTTGCGGTGCTCATCTCCGTTTCAAAGCCGAAGAGCCAGCGCTGTCCGAAGACGTTTCCGTGGTCATGTGGCCGGCAAGACTAAACACCAGGGCGCACGGAACGCTGTTCCCTTCCCACCGAAGGGGTACCTATTGATCTACTTGCAATTTCTTGCTTTCGAACGGCTAGGTTGGCAGGAGCTGGAACTAGAGACGGGAGCTCACTCCGTCATGCAGCACACTCGGGTCTCGAACGGCTGAACTGCCGACCTTCCACAGCCTGCAGTTCAGCGTCTTAACCACTTGAGCCACCGCAGCTCCAATTTTGAATTTACTTGGGATTAATTTCCAAATAAACACATATAATAGGATTGGGCCCCATGTGCTCCTTCTGTTAATGAAGTATACTTTTAACTTTCTG